CCTAAAAGAGATTGAGTTGTCCAAGTAGAGGAAAATGGCAGTGGTGTTCCTTTCAGGCCCATCTCTTCAGCTTCCATGTGGACCATCTTCCCCGGTGTATGCTTGTCAGTCTGTGAAGGAGTTTGAATGCCGGGTTTCGACGCATCACCTTCACAACTACTCACAAGTTGACCATCCCAGCATAACAAATATGCGTCCTTGTTGTTCCAAGACAATCTCAGTCGCGGGAAGATTGGACCTATCAAAACTTTAATAACGATTTTTTGCTGAAGGGTGTATAGTTAAGCCCCAACCTAATCCGCTCCCTGAGCTAGAGCAGAACAATGTGAACCCAGGCAACTAACCCAAACAAATATGACATTTTTGCCGGGCACCTCAGTTTGTGGAACATGCCGGACTCCCGGACTCACGGGCAAACAGCGTCTACCGTGGCGCAGAAACGTTTTTTCCCCGCATACGGGCTGCTCTTCCACAGCTGTAACCGTATGGCGCCTGTGTCATCTGCACGGGCACGACTCACCCAACTTGACCGCGAGAACACCAGACTCCACAGCCAATTCTTGAGGGAAAAAATTGGTGAGAGGTAGTCTCCGAGGGGTGCCCAGGAAAAAAATGAGAACGAACAACGACGACAATAATCCCTGCAACATCTAACAACAACAATCAATACAACATCAACAACAACCATCAATGCAACAGGTCCAATAGGTCGAAACACGCAACCGTTCGTGTAACACAAGACTAACCAAAAAAACGTAAATCACTGGACTCCGGAGGCCTTTAAGGCCTTGTAGATGTCTGGACTTTCTGGTCCATTTTAAACTTTTGGGCAGTGTGTGTGAACTATTTGCGCTGAACTGCGCGTGATGATTATTTGATTTTTTCCCTCGGCTTGGAACAGTACGTTTGTCAAATGGAACGCTCTGCAGTAGGCTCGGAACGCTCATCAGGTCGATCCAATGCGGCCTGGCAGATTGAACAGCGTGAAAAGCACCCTCTTTTCAAAGGGGCGGGGCAAGGGACACGTGTCATGTGTAAAACCATGCATGGGGATCACAGTCATGATATGTTGAATTACGTTATATATATATGTACAAAGTGTATGTATATATATATACTTTCTATTTTTGACTTACATATTGATATGTTGCGTTGCCCTGTGGAGCACATGACAAATGAACTGCACCGTCAAAGACGGTTGGAGTTGGACCCCCGATTTCACAGTTCACTGAGCAGGAAGGTTAACTGCCTTTCTCGCCTGCCTTTCCATCCCCAACACAAGTACCCGATGCCATCCGGTACCCAGTCCTTGGCACTGTACAATCTCCCGGCTGCAGTCTACGACCCTCCACTTGGTGAGCCCTAAATTGCACACTTCGATGAGACAGCGGAGTTGAAAAATACCAATATACAATACAAGGACTTGCAAGGACTGCGCGTAAAGGACTCTCTTCCCCAAACAGTTTACTTGTGGGGTCTCTGGCTCTCTCTTAGAAAATCAGAAGTTGGCCACAGTTTCTGGCCGCTCCGGTGAACCTAGAATGCGTGTAGCATATGGCCGGTGCTCCGCGCTCACAATCTTTGCAGATGTCGTTGTTACTGGTGGACTGGTGTCATTCAGAGGATGGATCAAGCCAGGCTGGATATTGTGGACCCATCCACAGAGAGGACTCCAACTTCGCAACTTTTATGCTTTGTGGCTTTGTAAAGGCAGATCCGATTTCGCGTTGCGCCTGAACTGGATGAGCAATCATTTATTAATTCATTCATCTATTGGCAATTTATATTATAATTTCTTCATTTTTAATTGCCAATAGCATAGAAACAACAAATTAATATAATATCTTAACCCCCCAACTTTTAATTTAATAACCATCATCAATAAAGTTGGGGGGAAATAATAAGAAATAAAGAAATAAAAAATATAATGGCAAAATGCCTTACTTTAATTTATTTCTTACTTTACTTATGGCATTTTGCCTATAGATATATTAAATTCTTATTATCTGCCCCTTATATTTTTATATCTCTTAATTTATGATAAAGGGGCAGATATAATATTAATAATCTATTTTATCAATGGCTTGGCGATGGCGGGGTAGGAACTGTGAGAAGAGATGAACAACGAAGGAGCAAAGGAGATGTGAAATGACGACAAAGGATAGGGTAGGTGAAACACACAAAGCCTGCTCTGATGCTCCACAAAGCGTACGTCATCTTTTATCCCCAAGCTGGTCTGGTGCAACAAAACACCAAAGACACGATCTTCGCCGCGTCAGGTGCGCATCCCCATTCCCCAAAATGCTGGCCAAACACTGCTCAGTCAAAGTGGTCTTGTCCCACCCCAAGTTGCTGGAGGCACGCCCTGGCAGCCTCGGATGCTTGGATCTCTGCCCACGTTCTCTTTTCAAAGGTTGCCACTCGTCGTCCGGGCTTCTTGGCGTCCTCCGATCCTTGCACCACACCGTGGCGGATCAAACTTTCAAGAGACTGTTTGACCATGTCTGCGGCATCATGGACAGCTCGACCCCGCAGCCGATGACGGACCCAGTCTCGGGCCTCCCCGGTTGTCACCTGCCCTTTGCATCTTGGGTTGGTCAGGATCGCCTTCTGACAGAACTGCATGTTGGACAATTGACTTTCTCGGCTTGAGCGGAGCGTCTGGGTTGCCTCTTGTGGCAGCTGGTGGATCAATCCGCGCGCCAGCTGCAGCTGACGCCGCCATGCGTGCAAGGCAAAGGCTAGCTCGAACACGCTGATGGTTTTCCGCTCGTGAGGCGGCAGCGCTGCTGCAATGGAGGTGTTTGCCTCCAGGTACTGCATCATCCTCATTGCACTGCTAGCGAACCGGAGCACCTCCGTATCCCAGAACTTGATCTTGTCTGTGAGGCGCCTTACGGTGGGCAACTCAGGGCATCATCAGGATTGGACGGTGCTCCAAACCTTTGTTAAAGGTGTCCCCTCCAAACCCCACAGGCGGCACATTCAAAAGTGCCGAAAAACACAAAACCGGCACTTTTGACGTCTTGGAAGCAGACTGGCATGATGCGAGTGAATCCGGCCGTTGCAAATGGCGCTACTTGTGTGTTCCACTGAAGTTGGGGATATGAACATCCAAAGGATGAATATCAAAGCACCACCATACCTGGTTCCAATGGAAACAGAGCAAAAGAACGTGTGCTGGACCAACGCAAGCAAGCGTCGGGTGACATTTATCTTCGTTTTCCTTGGTCCAGTCACTCACCGCCTGTTGAACTTTCCGGTACATGCTCTCAGCGATCTCGTCTAGGTAGTGCCTGCGAGGAGTTTCTTCCACTTATTCGTCCTGGTCCAGTTGAAATTGAGGTGGAGCTTTGTTTGGCTTCGGCGGTGGGTTCTCTGAGATTTCTTTTCCCATCCAATTGAACATGTCTACAAGAAACTGCTTGCTGGTGGCAGCTTGTTGCTGGTGGTCCAGAGGCGCCTCAAAGAAATAACCTTGCGCAAGGCGCTTGCTGAATCCTGTGGAAGCCGAAAGACCTTGGGGAGTTAAGATCTTCTCCACCACCTCAAACTGGCCGAAGACTTGGTGAACAAAGCTGTAGTCTCTGCAGGCGTCAACGTCCCTTGAGGTCTTGGTGCCCTCCCTTTCCCCGTTGACCCAGCTGTTTATCTTCTCCTTGGAGATGAAATGAATTCCCCGGTTGGTATTCTCTCCAGAAGTTTTGACACAATAGACAGCAGCCGGCTCGTCGGTGATGGTTCCACTCCTCTGTGTGTTGAGGATGGACGCCTTGCAAACACAGGGTGTTTCCTGTCGACCCGACTGCATGTGTCACAACGGCACAACAGGGACTAAACGCTACTTAGTCACTCGATGACCCTTGATCGTACCATCTCCGCTGGCGGACACGCCCTTTTTCAAGAGAAGTGGAACATCAGGAGCAACGTCAACGACACAAAGTCCTTCAGGGTGTGGCTAAGTGCACAAAACAAAGATCAAGAAAGTCCCCTCCAAACCCCACAGGCGGCACTATCTCCAAGCACTTCAACCCCTTAAGCCCTATGGCTCCATATACCGATCCTGAGGTACGGTGATTGGGCATTTATGTAGGCTTCGAGGGCCGAAGTACCTTCTGAGAAGGTCAGGTATGTGGATCCCTACAGGGAAGATGAACTTACTGCTCCCCAGCGGCCGCATGCACCATGAGCCAGCTGAAAGTCCGGCGCAGCATCCGCAGAACTTTGGCGGCGTCCCGGTTGCCGCTGTCCTGCGGGTTGATCATGGTTGATTCCAACCAGAAAGAACTGCCGCAATCTTCGCTCAAACTATGGGGGATTCACCCAGTCGGGGATATAAAACAATCACCCTTATTGCATCTAATTGCGCCAAAAAATCAGGTCGTTTATGGTTGTTTTATGTCGTGTTTGTTGTTGTTGTTGTTGTTGCGCGTAGAGGAAACACGACTGAACCATGTCCTTGTTTGCTGCGTATGCCTTTGTGCGTAGGAGGGCAAAAATTGCACCAGCACAAAGTGCAAAGGTTGCCAAAACATATCCTCCAACAGAATCTTGCATTACCTCACACAGTTTGACAAACCCACCTTCATCTATAATGTATATATATAGTATAGTATATATATATATATATCTTACTACCAGTGCCACGTGGTTTCTGGATGTCTCTAGCATCACCTTATTCCGAGACAAACCGGCGTTATATTGCAAAAACAATAACTCATGATTTATATCAAGTATTCTCCTCTATATCTGTTGGTATCGGCCGTATATGTTCAGGTTAATGTTGTGAACTATGTTGGTTTTGATGTGGAGGTAGGCTATTTGATGTGGATATTTCTAGGCTATGTGAGGTTCTATGTCGGAGGTCATGTTGCACAAAATGTCCAAAAAAAAGGCTGCTGCATCACTGCATGTTTTTTCTTCAGCCATTGGCAAGTCAAAGTCTGGACGTCGATCCCCTAGAGTCCAGTTCATAGTCAGCCTTCTAACTGCCATATTGGTCAGTCAGATTCGTTCCCTCTCTTTGCTTTCTTCTTCTCTTTTCTCTTGTTTTTCTCGTCGCCTTCATGGTCAGCACGCCCCCGCTTGGTTTTTGGTGGACCATCTGCCTCTGCCTCTGCTGACTTTTTGGTCTTTTTGACCTGGCTCTTGCCACTGTTGTCCAATGCCTCGTCAAAGGCTGGAACGCTGGGCCGCTTTTTTGACCTGTCAGCAGACTTCTCCAGCTCTTTGCTCTCTCCATCACCTTTGAGCATGTCGTTGAGAAGCTTGATCAGTTTGGGTGAGAACTGATCCTTGGATACCCCGAAGGCCTTGTGAGACATCTCCACGGTGGCTTTCACGTCCTGAGCCTTTGAGCCAGGCCTGATAAGAACGGCCGTCACTAATAGCACGCTGGCACACTTGCTTGCATCGTTGATCAGGCTGGTAGCATTCTTGTAGCTGTCTTTGGCCAAGTTGATGGTCGGCTCCAAACTCTTGGAAGTGGTAACGTGGCCACAGAACTTTGCCAAACTTTTCATGGTCGACTTGACATTGTTCCTGGCAGCCCCCACTTGATCCATGTCATCTCCTGTCGTCTTGTAGTCAGCGAAGAAGAGGGGGCTATGCTTCGTGACGCTCCATTTCTCACAATCAGAGGCCACAGACTGGTACTTCTCCTTGAAGGTCTCCACAGGGGCCAGGTGAGCCTCCTGGAAGGATTTCAAGCCCGAATCCACAGCATCCTGGAACTTGGCCAAGAAGGCATTGAAGTTCGTTTTCATGGCCCCGAACCTGAGATTTATGAGATTGATTCGCCACTTTCCCAAAAATGTAACACATTCCAAAATTCCAAAATGTTAGTTCAGTTAATCAGCATGGATTGTACCAGTAGTGTCAGTCTCATCTCATCCATGGAAAGTCGAATTTGATTTAAGCAAACATACAGATTTCAAAGAACCAGAGAGTCAGAGTCAGACTAAGAAAAAGTGATGGCAATGAGTCGAGTCACTTTTAGATTTGGAATAATTAAGAGTTAAGATAAGAGTCTAATTTTAAATGGTGACCGGGACTCAAAAGGTATACACCGATACACCCGTGACTGGCCCGGCCCATCACCCATACAGTCATACAGTCAGCCAAGAAACATGCCCTCCTCTTTCTTCACAGCTGGCTTCGCAACTATCAATTCCAAAGCCTTGGCATCACACATGGCCTGCACAGCCTCACTCCAGGCTGCAATTGCGGCACGTGCCTTCGAAAGTCCAGTCAGAGGGCCACTTGATTCATGAACCTTGTGACAATCTCCACAAATGGTTCGAAGTCTCCTGGACAAGCCTGCCCAAGCAATCACTAGAGGTGAGCCCTCCTCGCTTTCTTGGACATTGAAGGCTTGGATCTCATGACAGCTGTCCTTCACAGCCCTCAAGCTCGTCACTGGCTCCCCACGGAATGAAGGGATCTTCTCCATTGCTAGCTGCATCTCACCTCAAACGAACGTTGATTCTTTATCTACAGGCTGGGCCAGGCTAGCAAAATGACAACGATACGATGACGATGACAATTCATGACTCATGAATCAAGTGTCAAATGATTGGTGGGCGAATGGTGGCCACATTGGCAAGAACCAGCACTAGTGAAGTGAAAGTTCCACTGAACAGGCCAAGGCACACTGAAGGAAGAAGATCTCATCAAATTTGGATGGAAGGCTAAAGACAGATGGAGGGAAGGCCTCAGATAGCTTGTGGAGACTGTCCTCCAAGGTAGGGCTGCATCCAGAGACGGACTCTGCAAGCTCTTCGCCCAGCATTGAGAAGTCTGGTGTGAAAGTTTTGAACCACGTTGCCAACTCCTCAAACTTTGTGTGGAAGCGCTTGCCACGATCAGGGCACTCTTCAAAAATCAGCGCTTCTTCTGAAAATGGTGGCAGCAAGCCCAAAAGCTTGGAGATTTGATCTTTTTGATCACTGGAGTAAGTTGACTCTGGATTGAGCGCCTCCAAACCCACAACCTCATCCAATGCTGCGATGAATCCATCCAAGTCGACTACTGGAATTTTCCTCTCCGAGTACTCCTTGACTTCCTTCAGCACAGCAGACCACAGTGCCCTGCAAGGTTTGGGCAAAAGGGTGATGGGTTTGGTTTGGTGTTGGGGCTTTGGGCAACACCATCATGAATCAGTATACAGTAGTATATACACCGTATACAGTATACATATAATATATAATATAATATATATATATTATATATGGTCTATTATATCAAATCATACTGCGACTTACAACTCCAGTGTCAGTGTCAGGTTAGACAGTGGGACAGTGGGTGGGTAAGCCGCCTAGCCTTGCCCGCAAGTTCTTCCCACACACTTTCACCACCTGGCCTCCACTCGCCTTGAGCATTCATAGCAAGCTGTGAGCGATTGGAGAAGCTGGCCTTGGTGACCATGGAGAGGTACTTTACATCCATCTTCCACACACTTTGGTCACTCCGCTTGGCATGGAGGCAAGCAATGACTCGCTGCAAATCCAGCATGCATTGGTGGGAAAAGCCAGTGGAATTCTCATACCCGTCCAGAATCTCCAACTTCAGCACGGTGGATTTCGCGAGATCTGCAACACTTGGCAACCTACAGTCAAGTCAAATCCAGTCAGGCGAGCGTAAACACGCAGCTAGTTAGCAGCTAGTTACTAGTTCATTGATTGATAAATGATGCAGCAGCTGAACTGCGTTGAAACCCCCTTGAAGCCTTTGTTTTTAAGAACCTGTAATCTCAACATCTCAACACCTATAATATAAATCAAATATATGAATCGACTGATATCATAGTCTCATATCATATCATTTAATATCGAATATTGAGTCGTATCCGTATGAGTCTGAGCAATCATAGCAAAATGTTTAAAATCCAAAAACATAGCTTGACAGATTGCGGGGACTGTCTACACTCCTTGACTCCTTGAGTTAGCTCTGGAGATTTGGGGAATCAACCCATTGTTATGTCAAGACTAAGAAACCACTGATTGGAATCGAGGCTGGAGGCTTGCAAGAATGGCGGAATGATCCTTGCTGCCATTTCGACTCCAGATGACAAACGGAGCTTTTCGAAGAAGTCTGCAACACAAGTTGCTTGAACTCGAAGCAACAAGGCCCAAGCAAAAGGCAAGCCATCTGATTTACAAAGAGGGCCGTTGGGATCGTACAGCTGGATGAAGCTCCTGATATTCATGCCCATATCAGGATCGGTCTTCAAGGACAGGAATCTGAAAAACACATAGTCTTCCTTCTCCTCATCAGACTGTGCCTGAGTTGGGTATTGAACAGGTCAGGAGTCGGAGTCAAGAGTTAGATGGGATTCATCAAGCCAAGCAGTGAACCAAAAACACCAGAGAATCATCACATCACTGTCACAAAGTCACACATCACACATCACACAGATCTTTGACTTTGACTTTGACTGACTAAATACTAATGTTTCAATGTCAAATTCAAATGAATCGAACATGAATTGATATCAAATTTTCTGAAAAGAAGACAGGTGGGCTGGCTGTACAAGGGACATGACATGGTCGGTCTATGGCCCCAGTCTGTTGTGACAGCTTGTGATGAATAACTTGGCAGCCAAAGTGGTTGCAACATGTTACATACTTTGACCCTTTCACCTTCACCCAGCACCAATCAAAGCCAAAGTCACGTCCAGCAGCTTCCTGGCCAATGAGCTGATGATGTCGATCAGGGTGGCGGAATCCCGATCATTAAGTAGGCATTCAAAGGCCGCCAAGAAGAGTTCACGGAGTTCACTTCCTTCTTGGGACTTACGTGCAACCTCAGATGCCAAAGTGGAAGTGCAGCTCCGAACCTGTTTGCACAAGTCCCTCATTTTGCTGATATTGTCTCTGTAGGGCGGCATTTTCTCCCAAAGCTTGACCACCTCATCGTTGCCTTGGAAAGCGCCGTCATTCACCACAGCCTGCAAATCGGCTTCAGCCTGCCCGGACTTTTGCAACCTCCGGTCCACCTCTCCACCCCTGATCACGGATCTCCAGATCATGTCAGCGCTGACCTCTTCCAAGGCGGCCTGGCATTTTTGAGCAGCTGTCAACAGTTTGGTAGCTTTCTCTTGCTTGGCTTTGGCTGCTTTACTCAAACTCTCCTTGGGCTTGGGCTGCAGCTTGTCGCCCTTCACCGCAGTCGAAGTGCTTTCAGCCTGAGTCTGACTCTTTCGAGACGCTGCTGCTGCCTTGTCCTCTTCAGGTTTCTCGATTTTCCTCAATTTCCTAGCTGCAGCTGCAGCCTTCTTCTGCTTCCCCCCTTTCTTCTCATTGTCATCAGAGCTCCCATCAATCCCGAAACTGGACTTGCTCTCTGAATCTGAGTCACCATCCCTTGCCGATGATGAATCGTTCTCATCATCGTCCTCTCCGGTGATGTTCTGAGCTTGCTCCATCTCTGCCTGAAGTCTGGAGGGCTCCGGAAGTGTGGGAGTACAAAAAGTGATTAGTGGAGTCTTGGTAGCTTTTGACTTGACTTGGGAATTGGATCATGAGTGGACCCAGAAAAACTGTGCAGTCCTGTCCTGGACTGAAAACAAATGTGTTCGAAAATTACCCCCCCAAACTAGATCAAATTGAAATGAACTGTAATGTAATAATGAATATGATAATATGAACGAACCATGACAAGACAAGAACAAAGATTCTGATACTCAATGCTTGCTGCAATGTTCTGAGTTAAGAACACGTATTGAAACTGCCCGCGCCTTTGTGTTTGAGTTGACACGGATCCTCTCTTTGGCATTTGCCAGCTCCACTTTGCTCTCTTTCTTGTCCATGTGCTCTTCTTGCTTCACCCTGCCAACACTCTTCCTTTCACCCACAAGCATCAACATGTCTTGCTCGACAGCGATTGATTCAATCCTACTTTGTGGGTGCTTCACGAACTTGACGGAAGGGTAGTTCTCCTTGATCCATCGTTTTCTCTGCTTGTCAGTTCGCAAGGTGGACTTTGGCTGGCGCTTGCAGCCGGCTATCCAGTCTTTCAGTGACTGCAGCTTGTTGACCTTGTCAGGGAAACTCAACCAGGTGCAGGTGACACTTTCAGTAGGTGGGTCAGTGTTTGAGACAAGAGACCAGTATTAAAATTTCCATGTGAACAAACAACAGACTACGATAAATATAAAGTTAAAACAACCTGTTATATATATAACGACAACTACTTACAACATGTGTACTGTGTACTGTGTACCACTCTACCATCATGTAACTTGTAATGTTACACACAGTTACACACCACACCATAAAATATTGTGTCACCGAGTTCACAATTCATCACATAGCCTGTCATAGCCTTACAAGCTCCCAACATGTGAAACAAGTTGGAGCTCCTGGCCTGTTGAAAGTCCACGTAACTCTTTTCCGATTTCTTTATCAATTCCGTGAGATTGACTTTTTCATGCCTCTGCTTCTTCTTGGGCTTGAGAGTGAGGTTTCTCACCTTGAGCCTCCTTAGGCATTTGAACCTGAGTCGAAGTGTGAGTTGGGGGGACAGGTGGGTTGAGGCGGGCCATGATCTGATAATAGCAAGTCTCAATCTTTGCAGTCTGAAGTCTAAGCCCAGACCTTTAGAAGCCTCTAAGTGTGAATCCAGGATCCCCAAAACAAGTGACTGGCTTGGCTGCAGCTGCATGAAAAAGTATAGATCAATCTGGGATCCGAATTCAAGAAAGACAAGAAACTTTTTGTTGACGCCTTTGTGCTCCTTGATGGCACCCCCTAGCTCCAACTGCGATGAACCAGGAAAGGAGCCGCGCTGCACATAGTAACAAGGGCCACAGATAGTGCCACCAGGTCGGGCCTTGATAACTTTGAAATCACCTTCGAACTCGGGAGGGCAATCCTGCACAAGAATGGGAGCACTATATGTCATGACTTGGACATGAGCTATTCATTGCAGTACACCCTCACTCATGAACACTTTGATTGTATCATGTATCCTGTATGTATCATTGTCATTGTATTGGTGCAGTGCAATGCAACATAGCCACATAGTCACACAGTGGACAAGTTAGGTCTGTTTGCCAGGTTTGAAGTTTGAATCAGTTTGAATCTGAATCAATCAACGCTTTGAATTGAAGTCTGAATCATGAGGGCCACAAATACAAGTACAGACAGCCCAGCTAAGTACAGCCAATCTGGAGGACGAATTGCAAAAATCTGTCCTGGTCTTGTGTTCCGAAAGCTTGATTGCAATGAGCACACATTGCATCGTCTGCCTCCTCATCGTCACCGTCCTTCTCTAACTTTTGGGGTTCCTCGTCATCCTCGTCACCGTCCGAATTGTGATCATCCTTCTCGCTGCCAGAGTCAGCCATGGGGGAAGCCACTCTGACAACAATGAGGCAATGAGGGATGGGAAAAATTGAACTGCCACTTGGGTCAGACCTTGATCAGTCTGAAGCAGCTGAAGTTCTGATAAAATGCTGACACCGTGACTGTGACTCTGTGACAGTGACTGTCACCAAATAGACAGATTCAATTCAATGCTTCAACATCCAAGAAACAACTCAGCCAACAAAAAGCAGAATAGTCTAGCTCAGGACAATGCAGGCTGCAAGGCTTAGATTTTCACCGACTTGATTGATGCTGAATGTCGCCAAGCACAAAGCAGGCTACTTTCCGTGATTGCACTTCCTGAGCCAACCAGTCAGGGCTAGCCCAGAAATCAAGCTAATTTGCAGGCAGCCATCGTGGCATATCCCACGTGACAGCGGACATCCATCATAGCCAGGGCCATAGGCCATAGGGCCATAGTCATAGTCATCATGTGCACCGTACCTGCGACAGCGAACGATGATCAACGGTGCTTCAAGCTTATCACTGATCACGCTTGTTTCCAACGTCTAATGTCGAAAGGTGTGTGACAGGTGACTGCTCTTTAGTTACACAGTGACACAGCTCCGAACTGCACAAATACACTCTGAACCTCCACAAGTGTAGGAAAGCATGAAAGCAAACTGCCAAATGCCTTTTTTTCAAGCAACTCCTTGTCCAATTGTCTAACTAGAATATACGCCCAGGACCACCAAAATTGGGATTGATTGGACAATCAATCCCTTAAGCAAACATGTCAAAAGCCTGCAGTTGCAAAAGCTCAGTAGTGTTGTACCTCTGCTGAAACCATGAGGGCACAGCCGATGGGTGGCAGGTAAAGCGGCAAAACTCTTCTCTGGTGAACATCAGCGCACCAGTCTCAAATGAAGACATCCCAGCCTCAACGCTTTGAGCGATTTCCTGCCGCGCCCTCCTGGCTGCATCGCTCTGAGCAAGTTGGGGTTCAGCACTGGAAGCTGGAGCCGCTGAAGCCGATGAAGCCGAAACCAACGCATCATTGCCTGCTCCAGCACCATTGCCACCATGGCCTGCTCCACTGCCACCATCGTCTGCTCCACCACCATTGCCACCATTGCCTGCGCTGTCGTCAGCAGGTGGGCCCATCTCTTGTGGTGGTCCCTGCGCCGCTGCCATCTCGTCTGAGGACGAGGAAATTGGAGACTCTGGCTCAGGGCGACCCCCAACGACACGGCGCAAAGCACCAAACATTCAGCAGCCAAACAGCAAAAAGCCAAGAGCCGCTGAGCCGAAGTGCCCTGAGAAACACAGAGCATTTGTGCGATGGACCGCTCTAATACTATTGCGTTTCCAGCTTAAACAGTTGGACGTCGGTGGACCCTGCCCGACAAACTCGACACTTGAAGTGTCCCGTCGCCCTGCCTTCTCAAAGCCAGGGGAGCAGTGACAGCAGGTGAAGCGCCAAACGCCTGGGCCTGATGGAACAGCGGAGGTTATCGTTTTTTGGGCGCCTGGGCTTGGAATAATCTCTGGGGCTACCACATTCAAAGAACAGGGGTGCTAAGCAAGGAGCCACACACACACTCTCTTAAACATCTAGTGCGGCGCTGCCTCTGCTGAAGGAAAAGACAACGATGACAGCGGCGAAGCCTGCAAGTGACATTGGTACCACACAAACACCCCCAAGCCAGTGTTTCAATCCAAGACTGAAACAATCTGAATCAAGCTATTCAACATACCTGTCCCAATGTCTTCATGTCTTCACCCACACGACCAAATGCGGAATGATAGATGGGCTGCCTTCTGACCGCAGTGAAATAGCCGAGGAGCCGCTGAAGCCTGTGCCCGAGAGGTGGGGCCGCTATCTAATTCAAGCCAGCCAGTGGTGAACTGGTGGCCAATGAGTTGAGACTCAACAGAAAGCCAAAAGCCATCATCGGGCCAGTTGAAAAGCAAACCGCAACTTCCCTCCGAGCCTCTCAAGGGTGCCGAGGCATGGCTCTGGTGATGCAGGTCAACAGGGAAGAACATCTAGCCAGTTGTACTCAGCTTTCAATACCATTAAACAGATTAAACTTTCCAGAACTGCTGACCTGGTTTTTGGATGCAACATGTAAATTCAACAACAGCCGCAAAGAGCCGTTGAGCCTATAGCAACTGCCTCAGTCTCAGCCATAAAACTCTGCAGTCTGCATGCAGGCGGAAATCGAACCCTTCCAACTCTCAAGCCCGGTTGGCCTCCACACGAAGGAGCTGCAAGAAGAAACGCCTTGGCCGGGTTTCTGGCTGAACGACATAGCATAACGGTCAATGTTTGAACTTGTCGTCCCTAACACCATAAAAAAGTAGTGTTTCCTGTTCCAGGCAACTACAAAGCTATTGAGCCCAACATGCTGCTGAAAATTTTGCTTCACCGTCCGGGAACTTCAGGCCCCGGCGGTTGGAGACGAGGGCTGCAAGAAAGGAGGCCATGCCCTGCCAGCTTTAGTGCAAATAACCCACAAAACCCATTCAATTCCCAGCTGCGATCGACCAAGCATCCCCTGACAGAGCCCTGGCCCTGGCGCCTTCTACCCAAGAAGCTGAAGAGCCGCAAAGCCGACGAGCCGCAGCAGCCAGCCGCCTGTCAAGTGTGTCTGTGTGGGTTTGCCATGGGTTGGACATCATCTCTGGAAACGGTTGAGTGTGGCACCCGCAGGCCTCAAAAGAATAGAGTAGGCTCAACCTTTCCACAAAACATAGCCTAACATCCACACTCCCTCCACACCAGTGCCTTTGATTCAAGAAGCTGACGAGCCGCGCAGCCGCAAAGCCAATAAGCCGCTGCCTGGTGTCACTTGCTTCCAGCCCGTGAAAGGTTACATGAAAATCAAGGGCCATAGGCTGGTAGACTGGGAATCTTTTAATGAGGATTGGCTCTAGGTAGGGTACACATTTTAAAAGATGCTGGAAATAAGTGATGGACTTCTCCCCACATCCGGCCTTGGGTTCGCTGATGGAGGCAGCGCACCGCAGCAGCTGCTCAAGAGAAGGGCATTGAGGGTGAAAGGAATCAAGAAAGTTGAAAGCTCAGTTGGAGCATCTAGTGGGAAGTAGGAATTTGAAGCGTAGGTTGAAGTATGATGGATGGTTTGTTTTTCTCACTTTGGGGTTCCATGGGCTGATTCTCTTTGAGGCTTCAGCCTTGAACCATTGAATATCAAAAACTCAAAAAAAATAAAAAATGTACGAAAATGGCGGGTAGAGCAAACCAATGTCAGAGTGTCATAAACCATATTTCCATCATGAAGGTGTGTACAGCCTGCGCACTTGGAAAGCAACTGAGCCAAGGCACGGCTTTGTTTCTTCACTCGGCTTCAAGGCCTGAGCCTGACCCACAAAGTGCACTGCTCTCAGAGTGTGCAAACTCTCGGGAAGAGTGTTCGGGGCCTCCTTCTCGGCTTTGTTTTCCTCACAGGCCACGAACATTGGGCAAAGGTGGGGCGCACACTGCCCATCCAACCACCCAGCCCTCCGTCTACTCTGACCGCTCAACACCCTCAAGGAAACACCGCATTTGCTGTGAATGTTGCTTCGGCCCGTGGCTCGAGCAGTCCTTGGCTTCAGCCTTCACCTCAGTCCTTAGATGAGCTCCACTGGCCGCGTTGTGCCATGTGGGCACATGTTTCCTCGCATACAGTAATTTAAAGCTGCCAAGGCTCTTCTCTTCAGCTTGAGGCTTGTCTCCTTGCATCTCTGAATCCTGTTCTTTGCCCTCTTTGCTTTCCTCATGAGCTGCGGCGGGACCTTCGCCTGCTTTCTCTTCTACTTTCTCCTCTTTTTCTTCTTTCACCTTCTCATCTCCCTTCTCCTGACACCACCAGCATGACGCCTAAGAAATCATGTGAGAACCTACACTGCGTCTCTCCTACAGACAGAATGTTCACATATATGTCACGTATGTCTACGTCCTCTTTGGCTTTCGCTTTCTCCTGCGACCGCGACTGCGGCGAAGGTGCAGCTCATACGGCTCAGCGAAGACCCTCCGCCTTCTCCTTGGCCTTCGCAGCCAGTAGTGCCGCACGCTTCACCGGATCCTGGTGCAAAATGCACATAGCGCAGTGTCCGGCAGTGTCACACGCAACAGAGAAATACACGCACACACACACATATTATATATATATATGCATGCCATGCATGCATCCATGCAGGCTGTTCAACAATGCCAACTCAACTCGGCGCGTCTTTTGGCCGCCAGTCAGTTGGATCCAATCAGTCCGCAGCCTCCTCTGAACCGTTCCCTGCACCTGGCGAACCCGAGTCCCACATCCAGAAGCTGTCAGCTGAAGCAGCTTTGTGAAAGCATGGATGCGGCAAAGCATCGCTCCTGAAGTGGCTACCAAGACACATCAAACATAATTACCTAGAAATTCTGTTTAAAAAAAGAACTTGAAACATCATAGTCTTGAGCCATTCGGTCTGGCCTGCGCTGGGAATGGTCAAATCAGAATCTAGCATCATGATGTCATTCGAGAGCTTTGGGTCAACATAGCCCTGGCCGTGGTGGTGACGCACTCGCGCATGACTCGCTGGCCACATCTGGTGACTGCGAAACACAGGGCCTCTGGCAAGTTGTAGAGTGGCTTGTCCAGGAAAGGCTTGTGCCCTGCATCAAACAATTTGGTTCAGCCTAATTAACTTGCAGGGCCTTTGGTGGAACCAATTGCCTGCAAGACAAGTCCAACCAGTTCTTGTGGCCTGGATCGGAAGGAATGTCGGCCAAAGACTGTGGAAGGCATCTGGCCAGTTCCTTGCAAGCTGGCCAGTTCTGGTGTAAGCATTTGACCAAACCCCCCGTCCCTTTCAATCGCGAGAAGGTCATTTGGTCCACCTGGCCTCATCCAACTCCATCTGCTCGCGATCCAAGAATGTTCGAATCACCTTCATTATCTTTTCAGCACCTTCTGCATCTCCCCGACTCTTGCACCTAACAAGCCCAACAAATTACTCAATCAATACAAATTGCATGCAATCAAGTCAGAAATGACAAATGAACAAAATGGCACCGCTGACCAACAACATCCCAATTTTTTTGCGCATTGTTTTGCTTTAAACTTGTGGCTGCTGACCCTTCCACGCCATTGCCAAGCTCTTCCAACATATCCGCCTCCCTTGGTAGTGGCAAGCCGATGGACTTTCCAGAATGAGACCGAAGTGACAGCTGCTTAAGTTGCGTCGGTCTTGAGTGTTGGAGTACTGTGAGGCTCCAGTTGCACTTGCACGTGAGGCTCACAATGGTATGAGCTACTCACTTTCACCGCCCCTATCCCGACACAAGCTGAAGAATGCCACTAGCCAAACACTTCACTCTTAGCATCTCGTAGCTCACTGGTTCTCCAAGTGCTTGGCTCACTGAGGGTCTCCATCACCAGCCCTGTGATGGCCTTTTCCTGAGCTGAGCTTCGGCGCTGCGTCACATGGATGGCCGTGAGCCATGAAAGAATCCTGCACCTCTCACAACAACCAAATGTCAAATTATTTCAAGCTAGTCTCACATCGTAATAGGGTGATGGCCAACTTCCCCCGAGCGAGCCTTGAGAGGCTAACGCCGCTAGCGGCTAGCACAACATAATTCACACCTATGGCACGGAGTTGGAAAGGCGAAGCCACGCCTCTCTGGAGAGCAACCCTCTGACAGCAGCTTCGGATTCGGCAAAGGCGTCGAACTCACCACCCAGCTCAGCGGTATCTCATGCCGGCGCCTAGTCTACTGGTGCATGGCGCAACCAGTTTCACAAAGCTTCCCAGCATCACATCCACATCCAGACAAGACACAAAGACCCACATACAGAGATAAACACACCACCACTTCAGGTTGAGGTGCTTATTCCCGACAAACTGCACTCGGACGGTTTCATCCAGGAGGGACAACACCACTGCTTCTCGCGGTTTCTTGCTCTTGCCCACCGAGCCATCTTTGCCTCAGAAAGGGAATCTGACATCCAACGCGACCAAAGGAACTCCAAGCACCAAACGTTTGGCTTTGAAATATGCCATGACCTCAGCTCCCAAGATCAAGCAAAAAAACCTTACCATAAGAGCACGTAACTATATAGGGCTTGCAAAGCCTTGCCAATCCTTCAACTCCGTTCAATCTGGTCACGGTCTGGTTCTCCTGGAACACGATCACCCCATCAGTGTTCCCGATTGGTAGTCCGGCTCGCCCTGCAATCCGTTCCTCAGGGCATTTCTTCACTTCACATCACATGTGCTCCGTCACAAATAAATAAAGATCAAACGCGGACTCTTTGTACAAAGCTGGCCAGGAGTTGAATCAAAGGCACACCAAGGAGCTGGTATAGAAACATCTAGTCTACAATCTACCAGCATAGGAGTCGCGGAACCCGCAATAAGCTAAGTTCAAGGCAATCATTTGGTTCTTTTCCAGCAAGGCCTGCTGATTCAGAACGTGACATGCTCCTCTCAGTGGAGGATCGCCCAGCCTGCTGCATCCATGTGGCAACAGTTCGGCGGGCCATAACCTCGATCTGGGTGTCATGCACCATGGTCAGCACCTCCAAGGCACTGAGGGCACTAAGCCCAAAAAACAGAACAGGCTACCACCAGCGTGCGCAAAACAGTGTCTTTGTGAGCATCTGTCAGCTGTGAGCATCTGTGAGCATCTGCCTACAATCAATACAAGTCATAAAACCAAAAAAATCAGACCTATGTCTCCTGTCCAGCCTCTCCTGGGTATCTCTCCATGGGTCATGGGTCTGAACTTTTTGCTTTTTGTTTTTTTGTTTTCTTGGTTTTTGGCTGGTCTGCCCAAAAGTGACCAAAAACCACAAAAAAAGTTCTGACCTATGTCTCTTGTCCAGCCTCTCCTAGGTCCCTCTCTATGGGTCTGAACTTTTTGTTTTTTCTGTTTTGGCTGGTCTGCCCAAAAGTGACCAAAAACCAAAAAAACAAAAAGTTCAGACCTATGTCTCCTGTCCAGCCTCTCCTGGGTCCCTCTCCATGGGTCTGAACTTTTGTTTTTTGGCTTTGGCTGGTCTGCCCAAAAGTGACCAAAAAAAAAAAAAACAAAAAGTTCAAACCTATGGTCTCCTGTCCAGCCTCTCCTGGGTCCCTCTCCATGGGTCTGAACCTTTTTTTTGTTTTTTTGTTTTGGCTGGTCTGCCCAACAGTGACCAAAAACAAAAAAAAAAAGTTCAGACCTATGTCCAGCCTCTCCTGGGTCCCTCTCCATGGGTCTGAACTTTTTTGCTTTTGGTTTTGGCTGGTCTGCCCAAAAGTAAACAAAAAAAAATCCTATTCATTTCTGAGTAACCACTAGTTCAATTCTAACTTAATTCATTAGCTTTTGACTTAAATACAACTTAAGTAAATTCTAAGTCAATTCTTGTTCTAATTGAAACTCGCTTCTATTTCAAGTTTGAATCTAAGTGAACTTTAAATTGAATTTAACTTGAATATGTAACACACTGTGCTTCTACTTTAATTCTAAGTTGGGCCCAATTGAATTCTAAATTAAGTCTATGTATTTTAAAATTTACTGTAATGAAATTTTAATTCAATGTTTCTTCTAATTTATGTGTTTTGTAATTCTAATTATGTTTGACTACCCTGGATCTAAATTTGAGTGTACATGTGAATTTGCAACATGCTTCTGATTGTTTCAGTTGAGCATAACTGAATTCTGCAACTTTAATTTAATTGAATTTTAAAAAACTGTTTCTCTGTCAATACTGTTCTACTAACAAAGCCCTAGGTTAAACGACTCTAATTCAATTCTACCTTGGGTCTAAGTCAATTTCAATTTAAGTAATGGATTTTATTTGATGTTGTTCATTCAACTCCAACTTAATTACAATTTATTTCTAGTTTAATTCTATTTCATTCTATACTGGATTAAATTATAACTTTGCCTATTCCAATTTATTTGTAAGTGATTCTAATGTTAGTGCCCTTGTACAATTCAGATTCAATCGCTTTACACATTTAATTTTACACTATTGTCATTGCAATTTAATTTTGATTTCTATATGTGCATTTTAGGTCTAAGTTGATTTCATTCTAGAGAGTGGGTGTTGCTGGGGGTGTGAATTTATTTAATGTAAGAAAGCAAATGCCTCCATGTTGGACAAACTTAATAAAAATCTCTCATGCTGAAAACACCACCAATTACCTAGAAGTAAATGATAATTTCATAAAACAACAAATTAAATTGAAAAAACTACAAAAAACTATAATAGTAGAATTGAACCTAGTTTGTATAGCAAGGAAATGAAAGGTAGCTTGCATTGAATCCCACATAAATTTGAACCTACAGTGAAGGAAATTTGAAATCAAAGTAGAATTAAACCATAGTTAAAATAGAGTTAACCTTGAATTTAGATAGATTTGAATTAAGTAAGAATCATATTAGAATTTAGTTATTTAGGTTTTGTATTGATTTGCCTTCTGATTCTGATGTACTTACCCAATTGCATTTAATAAAAGCAATGCAATTCACACTCTAAAGGCAAGAAATATGGTTTTGCATAGGGGCTGCGTGGAATTACATTACTACATCCAATGTTTTTAGCAAACACCTAACCTTATGGATTTAGTCATTTTTGTAGTACAGAGTTGAATGAACAAATATGCTTACCAACTGAAAAGAGCAAAAAAAAATCACCATCATATCAATGTGATATCATCACCAAAAAGAGCAACACCTTACAAAAGAACAACTTTCACAACCCTATCAATGTCATATCATCTGCAAAAAGAGAAAACTTTACAAAAGCACAACTTTCAACCCCCACCCCCATGACTACCTGCTCTCTTAATTGTATTGCATCTTTATATTGTTCCTCCTATGCTATATTTTCTACTGTATTGAATATAAATTGGTAAACCCTTGTTATGCTAATCACGTGGAGGTTTTCCAGTGCACGACGAGGTGTCGGGGGTGGTGCACGACTGGGTTCAAATCTTGACTATGTTGGTGCAAGAAACTCATGCGTAAGCAGAGCTCAGATCGCTGAACAACTTGTGTTCAACTATTCAATGGCGATCCATGCAATCAAAAAACAGTCCCAGAAATCTTTAGACCCTTGACTTCGATTTATGTTTTAGAAATCCAGGAACACATGTTCACATATTACTTTGGGTTTTCCAGCCCTTGGAGTGGGGCGGGACTGGGGCGGGAGTGGGGGAGTGGGGCGGGAGTGGGGCGGGAGCCATCAAAGGCAGCATCCACAGCCATCACAGCCATCCACACGGTTATTGACAAAAACTGTTATTTACAAAAACGTCGTTTTTGTAAAAAATACTTCTTGTATTGCCAAGCCATGGTGGTCGACTGTGAGCGGTTGGTGCCACCCACGCGGGCCACACCCCGCGACATAGAATTCATAGGTTTTTGATTTTCTAGTGTTAACGCTGCTACGCCCGTACAAGTCATGATTGTTGTTGTTCATGAATTATATCCCCCCCCCTCTCACCCCCTCCTCCTCTCCCCTCCTGCCCTCCTCTCCCTGCACAGCAGAGTTTAAATATTAATTGAATTATTGACATTGAATCTAGCGCCAGCTAAGGCCATGGCCTATGGACCTATGTTTCGATGCTAATGCTATACCCGCATTTCTCGCTTCATGGCCCCGCCCCTGGCCAACTCAAGAGGGAAATTGCCACTCACGGGTGAATAGACAGAAGAGGCACCACGCCACCATATGATATCACCGATCGCCAATTATCGCCAAATCAACCCTGTCAGCTTTCAAAAAGGGGAAGAGGTCGGAGACACATTTTGCAAGAAGTCCCTCTCCATAATGCTAAGACACGTGGAAAAGTAATTAAAACGAATCAAAAAATACAAATTTCAATAAACTGATCTAATTATTGCGTTCAATATTTGTCCCTGACTTCTTCCCGACCTCTTGCCGACCTATTCCCGACCTCTTCCCGGCCTCTTCCCGACCTCTTCCCGACCTCTTCCCGACCTCTTCCCGACCT